TTTCTTCTTTTCTTTCAGTTTGTGGTCACTGAGCCTGTACTTGGTTCAGATCTGTCTCTGCTTTCTATCTCTGACAGTAGAGAGATAATAATCTCTTTTTAGGGCCAGATAACATTCTGATCTACTTTGGCTTTTAGTTTCTTTTTTCCAATATTCCTACTAGGTTTCTTTACATTGGTAATAATTTGGTTTACTCTGATTGGTGTTTGAAAGCAGTGTTACTCTATGGGAGCAATGGGTCCAAACATGCTGTAACACTCTAATTTACTGTCTGTGTTTTCTTTTGTTCCCTGTTTCTCAGGAGCAGGGAAATTAACCGTTGCTACAACAATCACTGTTGTTCTCCTGGTTATCATTTCCCTCTGTCTCTTCCTGTGGATCAGGTGAGCAGCTCTGTTTCACTGAATCATTGAATGTTAAATCACTGAAGGTCAGTTTGTCCAACCTAAAACGTTCAGTCATTTATTTTCTTATTTATTCTCCTAACCAGGAAAAAGAGGGCTTCCAAGGAATCGTCTGAGCCTGAAGAGAGACCAGACAACAGGGAACAGGTGAGAATAGTCACGGATCTTATTCAAGAACAAAAGTCACTCACTCTTCAAGTGCTTCTGGAAAATGAATCTGACTGAGAAGGACTGCATGTTGCTCTTTTGACATCCTTCTTCACAGAAATGAATTTCTAAAACGCTCACTGTGATTCTCGTCTTTTCTTGGATGTGACTAAATTCCTAGTAGATCCAGAAGCTTTCCTACTTTTTGTCCTTTCCTTGTAAATTCCTTTACTTGGCTCTTTTCTGTAATGCACGGTGAAGCAGGGTTATTTGTTCCATCATTACCACAGCTGTAGTTGCTTCAGTCTTTTCTGTCCTGGCTGCAATCATCTGTAAGAATTCACTATTCAAATGAAAAACCCACTCATGTAAAATATGTCTGTGCAGTTTCTACCTGAACAGCCAGAGGAGCAGGATAACCTTCAGTATGCCAGCGTTCACTTCACCAACAACCAGGCAGATCCTCTCTACTCCAACATCAGACCAGCTCGCTCCCTCAGACACACGGAGCAACAAGATTTCATGGAGTACGCTGTTGTCACATTTAAGAGTAATACTGCCCCGAGGTGAGCAGCTCTTCTCACATTATCCTCACTACAAGATTAAAATGACATAACTGTGAAATAAATGTGTTTTTGCATTTATATATTTCAAACAATATCATCTTTTTTTTTTCTCAGATCCAGAGGTCAGGAAACTGGAGAGGATTCAGCTGCATTGTACAGCACTGTCAACAAAACCTAATGAACACAACAGATATTACATTTTTGATATTTCTATGTTTCTTTATAAACTTTGGATTTAAGCAGATAACTCTGAATTTTTAGATTATATATTTCTCAGGACATGCCTCTCCAAGAATGTACTAATAAATTATATACCTTAGAGAAAGTTACATTTTTAAATTTAACAACTTGTTGTTGTTGTTGTTGTTTTTTTTTACAATGCATGGGTTGGGGTTTCGGGAGGGATTTGAAATGAAAGCTGAGTCAAGGGGAAGTGAATGTAAAAGGTGTGTTCAAGTACTTGGTGCTAGAAATGGGATGAGTTTAAGGCGTGGTCTTAGCTCCCGAATCTATTTGATTAAACTTCATTATGTAAAGTATTTTATGACTTAATGCATCAACCTGTAAATATAATTTTTGTGACTTTCTTTTTCGAGCCTTTTAAAAGTTCAATATTCAGTGGCCTTTTATCCCTGGTTTGAACGAGTCTCTAACAGTTTTCCTGAAGTAGTTGTAAGTAGTAAGTAGTAGTTGTAAGTGATGCCTCTCAGATTCAGGAACTACTTTTAGAGCTAAACTTGTTTGTGTTTGTTTACTCTTAGACAAAAAACGTAGAAGTCTTACAGTTAGTACTCACATGCCCCATATTTTTAAAATAATTTTATATAACTCAGCCAGTTAGGAGCTACATTTAGCCTTAATAGGTTTTGTGAACACGAACCCACTCTTTGTTCAGGTGTAGTAGTTAAAGTGATATCCAACCTCAGTGTCTAATGAGAGAGTCTCTGCCAATCACAGTCACTGAACTATCCAAATAAAAGTAAAAGCTGCATTGATAACAAAGAAAAAGTAAGGCTGAGGTTGCTCCACAGTATCTGTAAGTAAGTGAGGGAGTTTTGCATAAATACTTTTCTTACATCTCAGCTCTTATATCTCATGTATATATTCTATGTAGTTTTTTGATATCATCCCTCTAATCTCCTTAATTTCTATTTGCAATTATTTCAGTCAAATAGCCTGTCTCTTGTGATGCTGTAACATGTCACTTCCCCCCAGGGATCAATAAAGCTGATTTTATCTTTATCTGGTTTTACATTACATTACATTAACATTTAGCTGACGATTTTATCCAAAGCGACTTACAATTGCTATACATGTCAGAGGTCATATGCCTCTGGAGCAACTAGGGGTTAAGTGTCTTGCTCAGGGACACAATGGTGGATGTCTCATAGTGGGAATCGAATCCAGGGCTCCCACACCAAAGGCCAATGGTTTCATTCACTGGTTCCCTCAACTGAAAAAAGTACATCTGATGATGAAACTTCACAGTTTGCATTACTTTGCTCTCTGGATGCGATTGAGGCCACTTTTTGTACTATTAATTATTTTTTATATCACTTTTTATCCATATTTCACTAGTATTTGAATATTTAAAATAAACAGACTTTTTGTGACTTTTTTCCACTCTGATGCAGCACATCAGTTTGAACCCATGGTGTGCATCCAAGCGATGCTTAAAACTGTTTCCTTCTGTTCCTGTTTAGTTTAGCATCACTGACAGACCACAAACTGTGACCACACTTACGTTAAGATTTTCTTGTGTTTGTGGGGTGTTCTGATGTGCCACAATTTTAGTTTGTTAAACTCTCTAAAATAGATCAAACGAGAAGTTCATAGTTCGGAAAAACGACAAACTTACTTCTTAGTTTTAAATTAAATCTACTGGTATTTGGTTCTCTATTCATGTAAATGATGTAAAGAGGAAGGAAGCTGGGTGTATTTTTAACAGCTTCAGTTTTCTGCTCTCAGACCACAGAGTAACGTTGTCCTATCAAGATAACTGCCTTTCACGTTAGGTGTTTTTGATGTGACTGATGTATTTCTTGTGTACATAATTTACATCTTTTAATGTGTCTGAAGTCGCACAGAAAGATGTGAGGAGCAGCTATGAGGTTAACAGCAGAAGCAAGTGGATTTGTCGTCCTTCTCCTGACTGTACCAGGTGCTGTATATCTACGTTTATGTTGTATGGTATTTACATAGTCATAGCACCCTGAAGCAATCTATAATCCAGAGCTAAATATTTTAGTTTTTTAATTTGTTCAATGGATTAAGAGTGTCCTGTATCAGGGACTATACATGGAGTGCCCTCAGTCAGCAGTGTACAATAAAGTCATTTTTTTTATGGAAATGGATATGATGAATTGACCTTTAAAAGCTGGCTGTCAAAAATTGTTACGTCTGCTCCATCCTCATCATCTCCTCCATGAGTGCGATGACTGGCGCAGCGACTTTAGGGTTTTGGTTTCAGGTCTCCATGTGTCTTACATGAATAGACCAAAGCTGAAGCACCGAACAGTGTAATAAATATGCCAAAATATGTCTGGTTACTGATGTTGTGTTGAATTTTGGTTTCTGATGTGATCTGTTTTTCAGTGGTACAGGGTCAGAATGGCTGGGGAGTGACTTACACTCCAACTCAGATCTGTGCCTTAAAAGGATCAACAGTGGACATAAACTGTACCTACACATATCCATCCAGGTTAAATAATCATGATACCAAAGTTGAGAAAACATTCTGGTTTACGAAAGAGAGTAATAACGTTTATATGGATCTGAGAACAGACTCAAAGTATTCAGGTCGTGTGGAGTATAACTGTCATATGAACTACTGCACTCTGAGAATCACAGACCTGAGAGAGAGCGACTCAGCTGAGTACAAGTTCAGGTTCATAACAAACCAACCAGGTGGGACATATACTGGTTCACCTGGAGTCACTCTGTCTGTCACAGGTAACATTTTTATCTGAATATTTATTTATTTAGTTCCAAATGTTCAACATCTTATTAAGGTTACTGTGTGTGTGTTGACAGTTCAGTCTAAAATGAAGATTTCTGTTCCTTATTCACATATTCAGATCTCCAGGTGCAGGTGAGCAGATTACAGGTCTATGAGTCTTATAACACGGCAGAGCTGACGTGTAACAGCATTTGTCATCTACCTGGTCGCCCTTACTACATCTGGTACAAGAAGAACAAGCCCATTTCGGAACAAACATCTAATTCTTATTCAGCCTCCTTTGATCCTGCAGACAGTTTTTCCTGTGCTGTACGAGGATATGAGAAATCTTGCTCTCCTTTAGTGTGTGAGTTTACTCCTAATTATTCCACAAAAATAATGTAATCTGGTGCAAGGTTTCACCAAAATAATCAAATAATATCCCAATTCAGTTTTACACAGTCTTCATAAACATAACACATTTATTCTGAACAAAATCTATGTTCAATCAGGCAGTTTAGTTCACTCAAGCTTTTTGTTTGAGTTTTTAATTTCCACAAAAATTGGAATGAGGGATAGTTATTCCCAGAAAAAAATTATTAGCAAGTAAATATAAAAGTAAAAAGAGAAAACAAAATTGGTATAAAAAGGTGTGGAATTGGAGTGCTGAAAACGCCACAAACAACATAAAGTCTTCAGAACCTTTATGAGAGCAGCAATATTAAAATTAATTAATTATTTCATTTCTTCTTGAATAAACAATTCTCTTTAGAATATAACAACTAAAAAACATTTTTTTTTACAAAATCATTGTCATTTTAAGTCAAAATGTTTAAATCTCCTGCAGATGCTCCAAAGCTTCCCTCTGTGTCAGTGAGTCCCTCTGCTGAGATAGTGGAGGGCAGTTCAGTGACTCTGACCTGCAGCAGTGATGCTAACCCAGCAGCTAAACACACCTGGTACAAGGAGAACCAAAGACTGCTCAGTGAAGAACCACAGCTTGTCTTCAGCTCCATCCAGACCTCTGACTCTGGAGAGTATTACTGTGCAGCTGAGAACCAGCTGGGGAGGAAGACAACTAAATACATCATTAATGTGAAATGTGAGTGGAACACAGGTTCTATGCTGTAGATAGCTGAAATGTTTTTCGTGTGTTTTGTTTCTAATGAGCCCTCAACTTTGTGGAAGTGCAACAATAATTCTCTGGATTATCCCTTTAACTTGACAATGAGAAGATTTTACCTGCCTGCTTCAGTTTCACAGTCTACTGCTGTAGGTCACTGACAGCTCCAGTAGATTTAAAGCACGATCAACTTTCCACCTTCTGCCATACAATTAATGAAGTATTTAAAAACAATATGCACCACAGTAAGGCACTATCAATTTATGATAATCTTTATTCATACAGATGCTCCAAAGCTTCCCTCTGTGTCAGTGAGTCCCTCTGCTGAGATAGTGGAGGGCAGTTCAGTGACTCTGACCTGCAGCAGTGATGCTAACCCAGCAGCTAATTATACCTGGTACAAGAGGAATAAAAATGTAGACCATGAACTTCTGAATGAGGAACCACAGCTTGTCTTCAGCTCCATCGAGTCCTCTGACTCTGGAGATTATTGCTGTGCAGCTGAGAACCAGCTGGGGAGGAAGACAACTAAATACATCATTAATGTGAAATGTGAGTGAAACACAGGTTCTATGCTGTAGATAGCTGAAATGTTTTTTGTGTGTTTTGTTTCTAATGAGCCCTCAACTTTGTGGAAGTGCAACAATAATTCTCTGGATTATCCCTTTAACTTGACAATGAGAAGATTTTACCTGCCTGCTTCAGTTTCACAGTCTACTGCTGTAGGTCACTGACAGCTCCAGTAGATTTAAAGCACAATCAACTTTCCACCTTCTGCCATATAATTAATGAAGTATTTAAAAACAATATGCACCACAGTAAGGCACTATCAACTTATGATAATCTTTATTCATACAGATGCTCCAAAGCTTCCCTCTGTGTCAGTGAGTCCCTCTGCTGAGATAGTGGAGGGCAGTTCAGTGACTCTGACCTGCAGCAGTGATGCTAACCCAGCAGCTAATTATACCTGGTACAAGGAGAACCAAACTCTGCATCAAGGCCAAGAAGGAAGTTATTATTTCAACTCCATCAGCTCTGAGGACAAAGGAATCTACTATTGTATGTCTGAGAACCAGTATGGGCAGATCAACTCTACATCGCTATTGTTAAATGTCCAGTGTAAGTCAAGCTTAATTCCAAATCATGCATGCTCATATTAATGGAATATTTCTTGATACATATTGTTTATATTCCTTAACAGATGCTCCAAAGCTCCCCTCTGTGTCAGTGAGTCCCTCTGGTGAGATAGTGGAGGGCAGTTCAGTAAGTCTGTCTTGTGGCTGCGATGCTAACCCAACAGCTAACTATATCTGGTACAAGAGGACTAAAAGTCCACACCATGAACGCCTCAGTGAAGAACCACAGCTTGTCTTCAACTCCACCCAGTCCTCTGACTCTGGAGAGTATTACTGCGCAGCTGAGAACCAGCTGGGGAGGAGGACATCTGAAGACATCATTATTAATGTAAAATGTGAGTGAAACACAGGTTCTATGCTCTAGCGAAATTAAGTGTCCTGTTCTTTGATCTTTATTAAAGGGGAACTCCACTGATTTTATTGCATTAAGTATACTTAACTCATCATGGGGAGCACTACAGTATAATGTCTTCTGTGTCTCCAAACTCTGAAAAAACAAGCTTAATGATGTCGTCAGGGTTAGCTCAGATTGGGCTTTAGGCTTTTCACAAGAACATTGAACGAGATCTGGACTGGACATTCAGTGTTTGACCCATGGACATCTCGTCTTCTACTACTTTAATTTGGAAAATTATTTACACACATTATCGTGATGTGTGAACTACACAATGACTCAACAAAACGGCTCCCCGACACATTTCTGACACATCGCCGATGTCTGCCAGATATCTAGCATGCCAAATATTTGGAGGAGTCGGCCAACTCGACATCCACATCCAGCCAATGAGAGCAGGCAGCTACTTTTTCACCGCAAAACACTTTTTACTCACCTCCAGCTCTCTCTGTTGCTCAGACAATCCCTGCTACCTGCATGTGCTGATCCATTATTTCACCCAGATTTTTTGTCTTTATAATAACAACAAAAAACAGCTGTTTCGTGTGTAGATTTGCGTCATTTTGTTTCACATTTCACATGTGTTTTCTTGACAAAACATGGTTTGGAGACCAGTGTTGGGTGACAGAGCCGCTGTCAGCTCGTGTAGTGTGTGACCCCCTGTCACCGATCAGTCACGTAGTGTGAATGCCACAACGACTTCAAGACTCCCGTCACCAGACAGCACGCTGAAAATCATGTAGTCTACACAAGGCTTAACTTGACAATGAAAAGATTTTACCTCCCCTGCTTCAATTTCAGTCTTCTGCTATAGATTTGGACCACAATCAACTTTCTATATCCTGCTGTATACTATGTGATTAAGTATTTAAGAACAATATGAACCATGCACATCAGCTTATGGTAATCTATATTCATACAGATGCTCCAAAGCTTCCCTCTGTGTCAGTGAGTCCCTCTGCTGAGATAGTGGAGGGCAGTTCAGTGACTCTGACCTGCAGCAGTGATGCTAACCCAGCAGCTAATTATACCTGGTACAAGGAGAACCAAACACTGACTCAAGGACCAGAAGGAAGTTATTATTTCAACTCCATCAGCTCTAAAGACACAGGGATCTACTACTGCAAGTCTGACAACAGATATGGACAGATCAACTCTTTATCTCTATTGTTAAATGTCCAGTGTAAGTTTTATTTTTCATGATACAAAAGTAATTCCAACTCATTCATGCTAATATTAATGGAAAATGTCTCAATACATAATGTTTAATTTCTTCCAGATGCTCCAAAGCTTCCCTCTGTGTCAGTGAGTCCCTCTGCTAAGGTAGTTAAGGGCAGTTCAGTGAGTCTGACCTGCAGCAGTGATGCTAACCCAGCAGCTAATTATACCTGGTACAAGGAGAATGAAGACTCACCAAAAGCATCAGGACAGAACTTCACCATCACTGTTGTCAGACCTGAACACAGTGGGAAATATTACTGTGAAGCCCAGAACAAAAGAGGACGTCATAACTCCACCTTACATCTGACTGTTGTGGCAGGTATATTTCCCTCAATTTGTACACATATCGCAGCAGAAATCATAACACACTATCTGATTTTAGGCTAATACAGGGAGAAGAGAACCTTTACCTTAAGAAGCCATCTTGCACTCACCTCTTAACTTTTCAATTCACTTACACATGCACACATCAGAAATAATTCACCATATATATAATGAAAAAGTGGGGGGATTAAGGTTAGCAATTAAATGATGCCCCATGTTAGTTAAACCATCCATGTGACCAGGGATGTGCACAGACATTTTGGTGGGCAGGGGCTCAAGAGGAAAAAAAGGGCATTTTTTTTAAACAAGACAAATATATTAACTCAACAACATTTTTACTCTTCTACAAAATAATCATTTCACACAGAGACCATGGTCTTCTTTAGTATTCACTAGGTTTATCACAGGAGCAGGCGAAAGAAACGCAAACTATGCCACAATGTGCATGTTTTCTATGCTACTAGTTTCAAGTATATATTTATGACATAGTTTCATTTATAATTTGTTTATTTTTCCACAAGGCAATAAATCGTTTCAATTCTTTTGGTGTTATTGGCATACATAATACTTCACATAAATCTTCACACTAAACTGTGGCATTGGGCTGCAGGAATAATTAAAATAAATGTTATTTAAATACTTTTACTTTTTGTTTCACAAGCAAGATGCCAAATGAGTAAAGATAACCTTCAGCTTCACACAGCCAAGCAACGGAATACTGAATTGACTTTTATTATTGTTTCTATTATATTACATTTACCACACACACACACACACACACACACACACACACACACACACACTTACTTACTTACTGATGGTGACATCGACTTAGTTTCACATTTGAGGGAGGGCTGTCTGTATTATATAAGGATCTATCAGCATACAACAAACTAACAGAATGGAAAATAAAACTTAAAGAATACACCTTTAGATGGGGTTTATTTTAAGCCTAATATCCTCTGTCTATTTGCATCTGTAGATTTATTCTATATTAACCAAAACAAGCTAATCTGCATATTTACAAAGCACATTTCAGAGGAAAATGCTCTTGATGTAAGTCATTAACTGGGGAAATTCTATGGTGATATGCTTTAGTTATTTTCTTTATCCCATTCACCTGCAGTGATTTGTCAAATGTTTGCAAATTGGTGTATTAATTAGTTTACACCTAATTTGCATATTGTTTTACAGATTGTGATGACATTATTAGACACAAATGTAACTGTGTTCCGCTGTAGTGTCTCCATCAGTACATTAGGTTTTATGGCCATGAGATATTGCCTTAGCTAAACTTCAGCTAACTTATTACATTAGCTCAGCTCATGAGTCATGCGTTAGCAAGGCATAGCCTATATTGTCTTTTGTTTAATTAGCGGTAAACTCGAGGCACTGGCAGTTTAGTCTTTTGTTCATCACCACTCACCTCCACACAAGCCAAGAAAAACAGTGCTGGGAGAGAAGCTGGAGGGGCTGCTGTCTGTCTGTGAGCTGTGCTCTGGTTGCGCAGTGAGATGCGGGGGGGGGGGGGGGAGAGAGGACATCGGAACTCCAAAGTCTCATCTTCCGACCTGATAGCCTATTTAGATATTTTTTCCCCAATACATATATTTATTTGACAGGGAATCTGTTGCAAACAGGAATAATTCCCAACTTATATTTTAGGCCTGTTAAAAAAAAGCATCCCAGAAAAAAGGGCACTTTCTCTTGAAGAAAAAGGGCAGGTGCTGAAGCCCCTTTTGATGTCTATGTGTGCACGTCCCTGTATGTGACACTTCTAGATTCCTGGATCTCTGCTATTAACGTGATGCCCATTATGAAATGCCAGGTGAAGTTGAATACAGTTCAGAGTAATTGAGCTTTGCACTGCCTTATGGTTTGCTCATAAGCTGCAAAATTTGCACTAAAATACCACACAGGCAAAGTGAATTAAATACTGCAGCTTTGTTTGCTAGTTGTAGTGCTGCTACTGTTAGGACTTTGGTTTTGTGCTCATGTTTTTCTTCAGTCTGTCATGGTTTATTTGTAGATGTGTTTATTCTTTTGTTCAGTTCTCTTAGTAGGCTACCCATCTTGTTTCTTAGTTTTAGTCTTTTTGTGTCTTAGTTCATGTCTCTGTAGTTATTCCTGGTTCTGTGTTTGTCTTGTCTGCTTTTGTTCCGTTTTAACCTAGTTTTAGTCTATCCTTTTTGGTTGTAGTTTATTTTTATTATTCAGTTTTCTGTCTGCTGTTGGTTTGTGTTCCATGCCAGGTGATTGTTTTGTCTTTTGGTGTTCAGTTTTTCCTGCATTTTGGTCTGGTCCTGTCTGTTCCCCTCGTTTGGTTTCACCTGTTTGCCTGTGTTCTGTCTAATTACCTCATCTCCTCCTCCTGAGGCCTGTACCACAAAGCGAGTTCAACATACACAGGATATCTTTTAGTTATCTGGCTTAACTAACTGTTACGTCCCCGGCTTGTCTAGGGGTGTGGGACGAACAAAGAGATAAATAACCGGTGGAAAAACCAAGGATGACACGTGTCAAGTTAATGTATTTATTCCAATCAAAGTAACAAAAAAGGCATTTAATCAACTAAAAATGATCTCTGCCCACACCAGAGACGATATGAATTATATTAACCCTATAACGTCCTCTCAACCATTTGGAAGACCACATTTTAAGTCACTGTATCTCAAGGAAAAATGTACTGAACTTAATTCAACCTGTTTAAGCCATCTCTATCATTCGGTGTAGGTATGCTGTGCTAAATAAGTTGTCACTGTTTCTTTAAGCAGCATGCATTTTCAGATACCCTCCTTACAGGAAGTTAAAATCGTCAAAATCACTGCAGACATGAAGAGTCTTTTTGGTGGAAATTTCAAAGGTTAGGATATTTTTTTGACATATTATAGTTCCAGAGGAATTACTTAATAGAATTATGTAACTTGATGCAAAAAAGATCTCAAAAAAAGTCTAATATGGGTCAAATAATTTTCTGCTCTACCAAACGGTAGAGTTGGCACTTCATGGTAAAGGTCGGCTAAGCTAATGTAATACAAATTTACTAGCTAATGTAACACAAATTGACTGCTATGAAAACTTCTGAACATTCATTATTGTTAACATGACATTTTATAATGTGTTTCCATTTTGTATATATATGTATATATATGTATGTATGTATATGTGTATATATATATGTATGTATGTGTTTTAATAAATATAAGTTTTAAATTGAATATTCGACAGACATTCACCCAGGATCAGGTGACGGCTTCTTACTCAGTTCACCCAGTGTCGGCAGTATAAATGCGGTTAGCTCACCTCCGATAGCTCGTTTTTAACCACCAGGGGTCAATTTAGGAACCGTCAATAAATTGCAATTGTTAAAACCGTGTTATGGAAAAATCATCATTTATTTCAATAGCTTCCATGTCAGGTGACCTACCGACTCCAAATCAATGCCGAATTATATTACTACTCTAGGCAAATCAGACACACCTCTTCATATGAGATTTGAGTACTTGTTTTATTTTATATGAATGTTTATTAATATTTTATGGAAGAAAATGCTCTTTTTTTTCAATAGCTTCCATGTCATGTGACCTACCGACTCCAAAGCAATGCCAAATTGTAGTACTACACTAGGCAAGTGAGACAGACCTCTTTATATTAGATTTGAGTACTTGTTTTATTTTATATTGATATTTATTAATATTTTATGGGGAAAAAATTAGCTTCCATTTCATGTGATTCAGGGACTCCAAACCAATGCTGAACTGCAGTACTACACTAGGCAAATCAGACACAACTCTTCATATTAGATTTGAGTTCATATTTTATTTTATATGAATATTTGTGTCTCACAGGACATGGAAGCTATTGAAAAAAAGGCACATTTTCTTCCATAAAATATTAATAAATATTCATATAAAATAAATATTCATATAAAATAAAATAAAGCATTATTTTCCATAAATTATTAATAAATATTAATATAAAATCAAACAAGAACTCAAATCTAAAATGATGAGGTCTGTCATTGTAATTTATTAACAGTCCCTAAGTTGACCCCCGGTGGTTAAAAGCGAGCTATCGGAGGTGAGCTAACCGCATTTATACTGCCAACACTGAGTGAACTGAGTAAGAAGTCGTCACCGGATCCTGGGTGAATGTCTGTCGAATATCCAACTTAAAACTAACTTCACCGCGGTGATTACACAGCGCCAGGCTCAGGACACAGGCACACACCTGCAGAGGAGAGACACCCACAGCAACACAAGCACAACCCACAGATCTCAAGGGTCCTAACACTAACCCTAACAATCGCTAACAAAAGCTGATTATTAACTCTGTAAGTCAACCCAGGGTTTCCCAATCTAGCCATGAGCGCATTCACATAAAAGAGGCGGTGTTAGCAGCAGATGAATCACAGCCACGAAGAAGTCCACTGGCATCAGTGCATCATATTTTACAAACTGTAACACTACACAAATACACATTCTCTGCAGCTGACACATGCAGGGAGACAGAATATCGCTTACAGTGTGAATGACGTATAGTCTATAATAATAATGTGTTCTTATGAGCTGTATGAAAATTTCAGCCTTATTCTTTCAGCTTTAATGTATCACATTAAAAGACTGGGCACTGAATAAATGGTCGTTCCACCTCACTTTAAAAAACTTCTCTAGATTAATTTATTAAACAAACCCAAAACTGTTCCAAACATTGTTCTGAATTAACTTCATAAAGCAATGACATTAAAAATCCATTTATGCTAAAAAATGTGCTCAAATAGTGGCTGAAAAACTGAAGGTGATGATACACGGGGCAACTTTTTGAGCAATGTTGCTGTGCAATCTTGCTAGTGGCAGGTCCCACTATGTTTTGAACAGATAGCAGCCTTGTGGGCATGTGGTGGGGGAGGGGGATTACAGTAGTAGGCCTAACCTTTACTCATTACCATTGACGGCAACGTTGCCCTGCACAATTGCTCTAAAAGTTGCTGTATCATCCACTTTAATGTCAACATTTAGGCGACTGGAAACTCACCTCATTACCTGCGGCCACATCGCAAAAGGTGGGTCAGAACATGACCAGTCTCTGTAGTAGGCCTATAAGAAAGCTACTAACCTAAAATAAATAGCCTGCGTTCATATAAAAATGTAGTATTTCAATAATTCAATAATTGTCCTTAGGTGTGATTGTGAGCGTGAGTGGTTGTTTGTCTATGTGTGGCCCTGCGATGGACTGGCGACCTGTCCAGGGTGTACCCCGCCTTGCGCCCGATGTCAGCTGGGATTGGTTCCAGCTCCCCCGCGACCCTGTACACAGGATAAGCGGTTGACGATGGATGGATGGATGGAATATCCCTACCAAACTGCTCATAATATTCAGCCTCACAGAAGAAAAATTAAACCTATTTATTTTAACGGCTGTGTCAAACGGACTGGGAGCAAATAAAAAATATAAAACTCATCTCAAAACAGTAGCCTTAGTAGGCTTACTGTAAAAACCTGTAGGCCTACAATAGACTAAGGCTTTTAATCAGTCTCTGTACGATGATATCACCTTAGCCTACAAGAGTTTCTTCACATCACCACAGCAAACACAAAAGCAACCTATAACTCTGTGGGATTTTCTACAGATGGTGATGTCATTTTCCAAGAGAGCTGATTGGTCAGAAGGCGGCGTTTTCCTAGAGTTGATCTCTTATCTGGAACATGACCTGCTCTGGAGCAGGTTAGCCACTCAGCATAAGTTGCCATGGCGATCTAAGTAAGAAGTGAACCACCGTCGTGGTACTGAAAACCCAGGGTTAACCCCGAAGTTACCTGGATAAACTCAAATCCTGCTTCGTGGTACAGGCCCCTGGTCTTGGTTCCGCCCTGCTCGTTACCTGGTGTTTAAATGTATGCTTGTTCTGTTGTTACGTCATCCTTGTCTACTGTTAAGTGTTCCTGCCTGTTCCTTGTTTATGGATTATACTCTTACTCTCTTTGGATGATCTTTTATTTGGATGTACCTTCGCTTGGACTCGTGCTATGGAAGTCTGTTCAGTTAAGTTTTTGTTTAAAGAAATATCTTTAGTTCAAACTGCATCCTCCTTGCCGTCTCAATATTTAGCCAGTGCACATTTTCATTTAGAGGAGAAATAAGAGAAGATGTCAGGGTGTCCAGAACCAGTTTTAGCCATGCACATCTGACTGAGAGAAGGTTATGTGACAGACCCTGGACACACAAAGGGTGTTAAATCTTCCTGCTGGCCAGGGAGAGCTTGGGGATCCCACAGGAGGACATTTATACAATGCAATGTAATATGTCTCTTAGGATGGCGAAAGATCTTCTACTATTTCAAAAGAACATGCATGATACAGAAAAATATTTTTGTTCTATCTCACCATGGGGCCAAACATCTGAACACACTCAAATTAGTTATTTTTTATTATTCCAGTTTTCCCAGGTTTATGGAAATTAGCAGTCTTTGGAACAACCCCTGCTGTTTTCCTGGCTATCATATGGCTCTCTGTCCTCCTACTGATAAAGTAAATAGATCTGTTTTACTAATGCATTGCACATTAAATACCAGAGTCTTTTTAGCAGTCATGTTGTCAACTAAATTATTTCCTTGGATTTTTATTAATTCTATTAACCAGGAAAAAGAGATCCTCCAAGCAATCATCTGAGCCTGGAGATAGACCAGACGACAGGGAACAGGATGACCTTCATTATGCCAGTTTCCACTTCTCCAATAATCAGACAGATCCTGTCTACTCCAACATCATACCAGCTGTCCCCCGAAGACAAAAGGAGGAAGAGGAGGAGGAAGAACTTGTTGAGTACGCTGCTGTCCAATTTAACAGTGCCAGTACTGCCCCAAGGTGAGCAGCTCCTCCCACAGGAACATTATCCTCACTAAAACCTCAACATGGCATGCAGTTAATGGAGCTGATGATCAAGTATTTCATTTTAACACTTTCATTCCTGTTGCATTTGCTTGTTTTCTTTACATTTTCATTATCACTGTTTGTATTTGTGAAGGAATTTAAGGGTACTATGACCCAGGTTTCCGCAGGTCATGATAGGGTCAATTGCTGAGCTAAAGGAAGCCAAATATTACATGCTATGTAATATATGCTATATTACATGTAAGCCTTCATCAGTCTCCGAAATGTCTTCATTACACCTGAACCTGGCTCACAATATTTTCACAACAGTTTGAGTTAATACTATATCTTTATCTTTTATTTTCTCTGGACCAGAAGTCAGGAAACTGTGGAGGATCCAGCTGCATTGTACAGTACAGTCAACAAAACTACTGAACGGAACCGGAACGTCTAATCTGTGCTTTCTGTCATTTTCATCTGTGAGAGCAGCATGGGTCTAGGGATGGCAAAGTTAGTCGGCTGGTTGGTTTGGCGGTCAATTGGTTCGCCACTTTGGTCCAGACTGAAATAGCTCAACAACTACTTCATGGATTGCCATAAAAGTGTTTACTGACATTTTGATCCCAAGAGGTGAGGACAGGAGGGAAATTTGGCTTGGGCACAGTGCATTGTTTCCTCATAAAATCACAAAAAACACATCACATTACATCAACAAGTATCTGAGAATCACTGACATGTTGTAGTACTTCATAAGAGGAAAACATAAAAACGAAGAAAAAGGACATTGTTAACAACACAGTGCCATGGATTAAAGCGCAAGTGCTTATGTACTAGTGCGGTTATTGCACGTTGCCCTATTGCACCGAGGATGCAGACTTTGGTGATCCCCAGACTTTAACCCTGCAACACAACCATGGTGACATGTTTTTTGTTTGTGACATGTTTTGACAACTATTGAATGGATTGTCATTTGGTACAAATATTCATCTTGCCCTGAGGATAAATCTTAATGGCTTTGGGGATTTCCTGACTTTTCATCTGTCTATCAAAAATATCTAAACTAATTTCATGAAATGTGTTATTTGCTTCTTTGGTTTATGACCAAATCCCTAAAAAATGAATGACATTCTCAGCAGCCTCAGCTGTACTTTCTGTTTAGTGCTGATTAACAAATGTTAGAAACTAACACAACTAACATGGTGAATATGATAAACATTATACCTGCTAAACAAAACTAGAACCCACTTGTAAAAACATTTCTCCATAATGTGGTCAAAAACTCTGCAGGATACATTTTAACCTTATTTAAAGATTAATGTCATATACCAAACATTATCATAATTCTTCCACAGTATGGCTTCAAACATACTGTATCTCTGTAGTACTGTATCACATGCTTAACACCACAAGCTTGAAATTATAATTTTTTATGCGTATTATTAAATTTGCTATTTAAAAGCACATCGGGAGAGATAGTAAGAGGAGAGAGGAACATGCATTAGGTGATCTTGTTGTAATTTCATACTGTTGCCACTAGATTGTAGTCAAAAGCCATATTTTAAATCCCATAAAGTACATTTCTCTCTTATCTGTGTAAACTGTCTATTTTCACCTCATTGTTACTCCCCTCTTTTTTTGTTTTTTTTCCCAGTTCCATTAGCACAATATCACAATAATTGATTATTTCCAGTTATTTCTACTCCATTATTACAACATCTCATCACAATTGTCAGTCTTGCCTCATTTTTAAAAGCTTATTATTATGGACCATCTCCTTTGTACTGTAATGTTTTGTTTTGATTAAATAAAAACAGTTTGAAATGCTCACAAGTCTACATATCTACAGTAATTAAACAGCTTTATTTTAAGGGTCACAAACAAAAGAAGCAGAGAGTAATAGCCTGAACAATACCATGCTGGAGTTTCAGTCCAGCAGGAGTAGCTGAACAAAGTGATATCAACATCTGTGTGCAGCTGAGAATTTCACTGCATGTGAACTAAAATAACAGCTGCAGTCCACCGATGTGGCAAAAACAAATGGTTAAACTATCGTTTGTCCTGCACCAAATATCTGATTTAACATTTGACATTTAGGTTTTGAAGTAAATAAACATTTTGCAAAACTACAAACAAGTCATCTTCTTGGCCATTTAATACCATCTGGTTTGCAATGCATATCAATAATATGCAGAGGAAGGAAGCGTGGTGTATTTTAACAGCTTTCTGCGTACCTTCCTGACCACAAAGGAACATTAAGGTTCAAGACAACTTCCCTTTGTAAGTAGAAGTCTGACATGACTAATATATATCATTTGTACATTAATTACCTACATATGTGTTTTATCTCTGAAGCAGGAGCAGCTATGAGTTTAACAGCAGCAGCGAGTGGATTAGTTGTTTTCCTTCTTTCTATGCCAGGTAATCTATATCCAAATTTATACTGAAGGACATTTAGCACACTGTCTTTGCCTGAGTGTCTGTTTTCCGTCTCATTACATATTTAGCACTAGTGTTTATATGGTAGTGACAACTGAAGTTCTCGGATTTGTTTGTTTCCTTTCACATGAAACACCTCTGTGTTCTTTAGCAGGTTTACATACAGATGCAGTCTTTTGTTTGATGTTAAGATTGTGATTGAAGTTTCTGATGTGCTCTGTGTTACAGTGGTACAGAGTCAGATTGGCTGGGGAGTGACTTACACCTCTACTCAGATCTGTTCCTTAAAAGGATCAACAGTGGACATAAGCTGCACCTACAGATACCCACACAGGATAAACATTTTAACAACAGTTGAAAAACTTATTTGGTTTACTAGAGTAAGTTATCGTGAACCTGTGGATCTGAGAACAGACTCTGAGTATTCAGGTCGCGTGACGTATAGCTGTGATAAGAACAACTGCACTCTGAGAATCACAGACCTGAGAGAGAGCGACTCAGCTGAGTACAAGTTCAGGTTCATAACAAACCAAGAACGTGGGAAATATACTGGTTTACCTGGAGTCACTCTGTCTGTCACAGGTAACATTTTAATTTTAATTAATGAACCATTATGACGTGCACACGGACAGCTGCGGACGATGGGGATTTTTTTGTCAGGTGGACCCTTGCGTACTCTCGGATATAACGTGCTTCAATTTTCCAACAGTAGCCCAAACAGACAAACTACCCTACAGAGCGAGTTTCATCACTATATTGAATATGCAGCCTACGAAGAAGAAGTAGTGAGGTTTATTAGAAGTAAGGAGAAAAGTGAAGTTTGGACAAACAGAGGACCACACGTGTTATTTAGCAGTGCAGAGCCAATAGAGCATGTCGGCCACTGTAGTTTCTCTCTTTGAAAGGGAGGACTGAGTTGTCGCTGAGCAGCTGGTTGCAATTCACAACCCTCACCACTAAATGCCACTAAAACTTACACAGTGAACTTTTAAGAATGGACAGAAAATTCAGGAAGAAACGTAATCAGGCATTAGGTGTCATTTACACTGGGGCCGCTGGGGACATGTCTCTACCACTTTTTGAACTGGCTGATTTAGTCCCCATCACATTTTGAAAGCATTTGCTAAAAATGTTCTAAAAATGGTCTTGCAGCAAGAAATGTTAAATAACAAATGAAATTGCTTAGAGAATTTTTATTTGCACATTAGCAAAACATGCAAGGCAATTTAAATCTAGAAGAAACACATGTGCATTGTCCAAGAAAGTAACTTAAGCAACCAAAAAAAAAGCTACAGAATCCTGCATTATATTCTATTATATTTTTATATTTTGAATTGTCACCTGCCACCTTAACTTTGTGTTTCCCTTCGTATAAATAAAGACATTTAGACTATACAGTGCCGCAGAAATGTCTCCAGAATGCATGAAATTAAGAGTTTAATACTCAAAATCTTCTGAGGGAGAACCCCCCCTTCAGCATCAAATATTTAATTTAAATGCTGAAGTGCTAAAAACCTTCTTGTCTTGTTCTCGCGCATCGTCACGTCTCATGACCCAAATGTATCATCACGCCCCTAATCTTAGCCCATATGTCCCCACCTCTTTGCCTGGGGCTGAATGTCCACTCGTCACACAAACCTGGCATTCAGCCTCAACAAACTGTTGAGATGGATTCAGATGGAAAGTAAACTCCTTTGATCGGCGCTGTTGAGCCAATCTGATTTCAGCAAAAATGAGGATCAGTCCAAGTTGGGAGGGGCCATACGTAGGCCGTTTCAGTAGTGAAAGTATTGCTGAAGCACCCCTAAAAATGGTCGAAAATCGCCCCTGTGTCAACCTCCCCTATTCACTTTACATCTAATATTTGCTTCTCTACCTTTTAAACATCTTGATGTTTTTTTCCAGATGCTCCAAAGCTTCCCTCTGTGTCAGCGAGTCCTTCTGGTGAAATCATGGAGAACAGTTCAGTGATGCTAACCCAATGCTAAACCCCTAATTATACCTGGTACAAGAGCAATGGAAATCCAAACCTTCATCCTCTCAGTAAAGAACCACAGCTTGTCTTCAGCTCCATCCAGTCCTCTGACTCTGGAGAGTATTACTGTGCAGCTGAGAACGAGCTGGGGAGGAGGACATCTGAATACATCATTAATGTGAAATGTGAGTGAAATGCAGGGTAATAAAAAAATAACATACAGCTTATAAATCTTAATTCCCTGTTTTTAATGGGTAAAAATGCTTTCTTAAGATCTGTCTGCTTCACATTCACAGTCTCTGCTGCTGACGTTTACTGATAAGATCTAGTAGTTGTTTATGGAGAGTGTGACAGATTTAATATTTAAGTTTATGTAAAATCATCTCCCCCAGATGCTCCAAAGCTTCCCTCTGTGTCAGTGAGTCCCTCTGCTGAGATAGTGGAGGGCAGTTCAGTGACTCTGACCTGCAGCAGTGATGCTAACCCAGCAACTAAATACACCTGGTACAAGGAGAATGAAGACTCACCAAAAGCATCAGGACAGAACTTCACCATCACTGACTTCAGAGCTGAACACAGTGGGAATTATTACTGTGAAGCCCAGAACAGAAGAGGACGTCATAACTCCACCTTACATCTGACTGTTGTGGCAGGTAAGTTTCCATCCAATTGTACACATATCGGAGCAGAAATCACAACACACCATCTGGGCTAATGCAGGGGGAAGAGAACCTCCACATTAAGATGCCAACTTTCTCTGTGATCACTGATCACTCATTTTAATTGTCAGTGTAGCCGATCACACAATACAGGTGTTCTCATTAGCTTGTATTTCGTCAGACTGGCAAGTGAATTAAAATTTTTCTCAGTTGTATTTCAGTTCACTGCTGCAAAAACAGGGAAATATCCAGATGAGAATAACTGTATTATGAATTTGACTATGTTAAAACATAGCACTGATCAGAGTAACATGGCTGTGTCTGTCCCAGTCTATAAATGTAATGTAATAAACAGTTTTGTTTGCCAACCAAAGGAGAATGATCATCTCCTTATTGAAATGTTAATGTAAATGGCGCCGTCACATTTTGCCAGCGTGAGCTGGGCTGATGTGGTCTCAGTGTCAGGTTAGAAAAAGTAGTTGGTGATTTCACACAAAGGACATACAGTATATTATCTACATCAACAGAGTACTTGGCAGTGACTGGTACTGTATAATACATTATACATAAGATAAGCAAATTGCTCAGAGCAAAATAAGAAGCAGTATGTCATCAGGCTCGCTTTGATCACAGGGGAAAGATGTGTTTTGGGGCGAGATGCAGAATGATAATTGTTAGATGTAGGGAAGAAATGACACATTTACCATCCGTGGTCGACCACAATGGTCAAATGCGTTTTGAATTGGATATTATGTTCCTTGGGTCCTTTTCACTCTCAATTTAGGTCTCATTTTAATTGGACGTTTGAAAATAAATGACAAAGATAAGGTTCGACAATTTAGACCTGTGAAGAACTCGACTCAGTAGTTGGATATATGGATTGAGGAATGCCATGATTCATGTAATGTCCCAAAATAAAATATGTTTATTTGTGAGAACAAGGTGTTGTCTTTTTTCAGATTATCACTTTATGAGGTCAAGGGACCTAAACATCCTAAAACGGCCTAATTAATTTGTCATTTTCTCACCACTAACTAGGAGAATGGAAATCAGTAGCCGTTGGGACACCTACTGCTGTTGTCCTGGCTGTCATACTCCTCTCTGTCTTTTTACTGATTAGGTAAGAAGTTTCCTTTCATTAAATCATTTTTTACTGAAATCTAATTATGGGGTATCACAACTTGAATATTTAAAAAAATCTGAATTCATTCAGGTATGACAACATTGTATTTACAAAGTAATCTCAAAACACTGGGGACATTGTTACAGCTTAGTGCAACGAGGAAAGAAACATGAGATTGGACAGTTTTTAAAACAAGCCAATAGTTTAGCCAGATTTTCTGAACCAGGTTGATCTGAAAGTAAGCACACCTTAAATGTCAGTGAAATCTCTCATTGAGTGCACAGTATAAAGTATAAGTATAAAGGTGCACACACAACTATGGTAGATTTGCTGTCACAGGACTGTAATAAGCACGGTCAATCATTTGGACTGAAATGTAGAGGATGGAAAAGGATAATGGCCAAAAACACAAAAATCTGACCCAGGTTTCTTGTGGCTGAAACTTACCTTTCATGAAATCATTGAAAATGTAATTTTCATTTTATCATTCAGTTTGTCAGAGTTGATTCATTCATTTGTTTCTTTTTAAAACTCTCTTTACCAGGAAAAAGGGAGCCTCTAAGCAATTGTCTGAGCGTGAAGAGAGACCAGACAACAGGATTCAGGTGAGGAAGAAGAGTTAAACA